TTGTATGTGAAATAAAATAAAATAAACAACAAAATTTAAGTAAGTTATTTATTAAATGACTATGTAATTTCTCTTACATTTTAATAACTACTATAATTTCATTGAAAACATTTATCACCACCGACTCCAGACTTCGGCGAATGAATTCCCGCAGTCGATGACTCCGTAGATAAAAATGCCACATCATCTATGAACAAAATCCAAACTTACAAAAAACCATATATAAAAACCTATCTAATGAAACTTAAACAACGAATATTAACTTAATTAAGGTTATTTTCATATTGATAAATCGTTTAATACAAATATAAATACTATAAATATAGATTATATCAAGTTTTGACATACGATATAAAAACATGAAATTTTCCATTTCATTATTAATTGGTTTCATTAGAAGAATCCACTAAACCAACAATCGAAAAAAAAACACACAAACATAATGATTCCGGCTCCGCGCTTGCGCGGGGAATATGCAACTAGTATAATAAAATAAATTTGGTTCATTGAAATGATCACAAACATAATTGTAACTTGACAAAACAAACACTAATACGAAAATGAGAAAATAAGTCTCAGTTGATACGAAGTGAACAGAAATTATTGAAGCCCTTTCAAGCACTCAATGCTCTCTAAGCCACAAGGGTGCTGGCAGTAGTAGACTCGCTGCAAAAAGGATAATCAAGATTTATATCAGAACCTTAACTTAACAAAAGATAGGAAACAACAACACATATTCTAAGAAACTGGTAGGTTATAGAGCACTTACTACTTCCAAACTGGGGGAAGCTTCTTGGTCTTCTTGTAGTAACGAGAAAGACGGTGGATCCTGCTCTCAACAAGAATCAACCTAAACTTGGAATCCTTGTCTTTGTTGTTCCTCTCCAAATGCTTGCGGATAGCAACTGCTTTCTTGATCAAGTGGTATAGATCCTCAGGAATCTCAGGTACAAGATAATATATTTATGGAAATATATAATATATTTTTTTCTTATCAACGATAGCTATGTAATAATCTGACACATAAAAAAGTGACTTCTCAAATAATATTATAAAAATTTGTAATAAATTAAATTAAATTATTTCATCTGTTGAGATATATTAAAACTATTGGTAGATTGTCCACTTTAAATTTAAAAGGTAAATTCCGTATTGATTTACTTTTGATTTTCTTTCCAAAAAGTTTTATACTAATTAGAGTTAAACTTCTTTTTATATATTAGACTTTCTTTTGTTTAATTTTCTTTCTTTTGTTTAATTTTCGATGTGAGATTTAAATTGAGATTTTTCATTAGCGATAAAACTATCTATTTTAAGGATGGAGATACCATTTGAGTTCCAGCAGCTGCGGGTAGATGATTGTTTTTAGGAAGTAGTGTCCAATCACAAACAAAATTTTATCTCTTGGCTTAGCTTTTTCTCATTTATTTTACCTACTTTTGAGTTTAAGAATTGTCTCTAATTACCTAAATCATAGATGTGTGTTTCAATTCTTGTGGTTAAACTTTATTGTAGGATGAAAAGTAAAAGACTAAACTATCCATTGTGTCGCTATAAATAGAAATTCATCTTAGGCTTAGTTCCTCACACAATACACATAACATACTTTCAAATTAAAAAAAAAAAAGTGAAGAAGTAAAAAAGTAAAATATAGCATGGCTAAGTTTGCTTCCATCATCACCTTCCTCTTCGTTGTTCTTATTATCTTTTCTGCTTTTGGTAAGTATTGATTTTAGTATATACATGGCAAATTATATTATTTATTAAATTTTAGATTATTTGATAATCAACCCTGACATATTTATGCATATATGTATAATATATATAATGAAGCACCGACGATTGTGGAAGGGCAGAAGTCATGCAAGAGGCAACCTTTATCAGGGAAAAAATTTTGTATGAAGGATGGTGATTGCCGGAAGATTTGCGTCGAAGCCGAGAAAGCAACACGTGCTACTTGCGATTATACATTCCCAAGGCGCATTTGTTACTGCCACTTTCCATGCAAAACACCAACACCATAGCCGTTCCAAGACATTTTTATACCATATGCCAAATAAATATTACTACCGTAATATCCTGGAATAAAGTCCATTTCAATATTATTATAATAAGTTTTCTATATAATTGCAATTTATAACAATTTTAATAAATTACTTTTTTTTTGATAAAAATCAATGATGTAAGAATACCAATAAATTTTATTACAAAGTGCTATTTGGGAGAATTGTCCATATATTAACCATTTTAACATATCTACTTTGTTATGGACGACACCAATGAGTTGCTAGATATACAATTGTTACCACCTTGATATTTGATAATTTATGTGACATGTTACTGTGGTCTGGAAGGAACCACCGTTTGCAGAAACAATGCATATTAGAAACGAACGTTTGCAGAAACAATGCATGTTAGACGTTTCTTCTGTTGGTTTTTACCAAACAATCACGTTTTTATCTGTTTCTATTGACAATGAATGTTGTTTCAGTTGTCGGAAAAGAAACCAATGTTTTGCAGAAACATTGAAACTGGTCACTGGTGTTCAGCTTGTTTTTTTATCATCTTTAGTAACTTTGACGATATAAGAAAAATTGTTTGTTCATTGAAATGAGAAAAACCATAACTGTAACTTGACAAAACAAACACTAAACGAAACTGGTGACTGGTGTTCAGCTTGTTTTTTTATCATGTTTAGTAACTTTGACGATATAAGAAAAATTGTTTGTTCATTGAAATGATCAAAACCATAATTGTAACTTGGCAAAACAAACACTAAACGAAAATGAGAAAATAAGTCTCAGCTGATACGAAGTGAATAGAAAATTATTAAAGCCCCTTCACGCACTCCATGCCTCTAAGCCACCCTTCAAGCACTCAAATGCTCTCTAAGCCACAAGAGTGCTGGCAGTAGTAGACTCGCTGTAAAAACAAAGAACAATCAAAGATTTATATTAGAACCTTTTACTTAACAAAAGATAAGAAACAACGACGAAATTAGATTATAGTGCACTTACTACTTCCAGACTGGGGGAAGCTTCTTGGTCTTCTTGTAGTAACGAGCAAGACGGTGGATCCTGCTCTCAACAAGAATCAACCTAAACTTGGAATCCTTGTCTTTCCTGTTCCTCTCCAAATGCTTACGGATAGCAACCGCCTTCTTGATCAAGTGGTATAGATCCTCAGAAATCTCAGGAGCAAGACCTTTTTAAGACAACAAAACTCTTTAAGATTCCTTCTACATATATATGTATATAGATACAATATGTAATCTGGTTTAAAACACAAACCATGAGCTTTCAAGATTCTCAAAATCTTGTTTCCAGTAACACTCTTGACCTGAGGGATACCGTGAGAGTCACGAAGAATGACACCAATCTGAGATGGAGTCAACCCCTTCTTTGCAAACTTGCATATTGACTCATCCACCTGTTTTAATTATAAAATCAATTACGTACTTCTCAGAGAATGAAACAGAACACACTGAAATAGATTTACAAGTTAAAAAATTACACCAAACAGTTCTTCTTTGAAGATATGTTAAACGTTCCGACAAACCCCAAAAAACCAAGTTGTAGTTCCAAAGTTCTGGTCTTAATACTAGGCGTCAGATAAAGCTAAGCTAATGTCTCAACACAAACACAAATAAACATATCTAAAATGTCGGAGAAAGTCTTACATCGAGAGCGGTGGTTTTGAGCCAAGTCGGAGGTGAACGCTTGTACGGCAAAGCAGATGCGGAGATTCCCTTTCTACATAACACAAAATGAGAAGATAAGAATCACAAAACACCTTGATGAATCTTAAAAAAAAACAGATAAGAAGATGATAAAGAACTTTGCCGAACCCTCTGGAATGCATACGCCCCATCTTGAAGTATTTTAGAGTTTCTTCACTGTCTCGACGAGATCGTTGCAGCTGCGCTTCGAGTGAGAGCTTTATATACTAAACCCTAATTTTTATCGCTTACAATTGGGTCGACCTCTCGCTTTGTTCAAGATCAATCGTTGGGCTTTAGGTTTTGTTTGTAATAATAGCCCATGTTAAATAACGAAAGGCCCATAACTAAAATAAGCCATATAATAGCCCATGTTAAATAAAGAAAGGCCCATAACTAAAATAAGCCATTTTTCTCTTTTTTTTTTTATTAAACAAAAGCCCATCCGTTTTGGTACCAAAGCTAAAAAAGAACTAGTAATAAAAATTTGGCTTTGGTTCGGTTTTAGTTCGACTCGATTGCAGATATTTTAAAGTTGATCATTTAATGTAATTCTTGTAAATATATTGCATAATTCAACAGTTGATAGGATTTTCAGATAACTCGTGATAGTTGTCTTTTAGTTAATATCGGCATAATTTTGGAACGGGTTGTTTTGGTTTCTGGTTCTCAATATAATGTATACAGCCTTGTTTTAGAGTTATAAAATAGAGTTAACCCAGTTAACGAAAATAGAGTTAACCCAGTTAGCGAGATCTTTGTCTTCGCGTGTGTAGTCTGAAAAGTGTGATCATGCATATGCTTAAAGCTGGATTTGGTGTTTTAAGTTGTAATTATCAATGTCTTTAGTGTATTATTAGTCTTTGATTATATCATAATGTCAGAAATTATAAAATAACATCTAACTCGAACGTAAATAAATTAAAGGTTTAGGAAAACGCAAGAATATATAAAAGAGTGAGGTTCGTGAAAGCAAAAGAGAAAACTTGTGAGGATATGTATTGTCGATGAGATTATTGTTAATTAACTAATACATGTCGACGAGATTATTGTTAATTAACTAAAGTGCACATTTGTCTGGATCACGTGATTCCTTGTGAGCAGTATTCGATGCTACAATAAGTAAATAATATCTTGTAAAACTTTATGCTTCAATCTTGTCTTGGACTTGCTTGGTTAATTGTAGTCTCCAAAAAAACTTGGTTTCTGTGAAGCAAACACCACATCATAGCATTCAAAAAAATATGCATATTAATACACAATACATTAATTTCTTGGGTACATAGTTTGATATAATTCTAGAGAATAGTGTTTTTAGGTTAGCTATTGAACATATATGACTACATCTACGAACTCTCGCGAACATATGTATACACATGTGTATATTAGTTTCTAAGTTTTATTTACTTTACAAAAAAAAGAATAGGTCTAATATTGAATATTCGGGTTTGGCCGAAATGTCCAGATAATTTATTAAGAAACGCATTAATAATAGTTTCTTTTTTTCACAAATCCATTACAACTAAATTAGATTAGAGCTCATCAAGTGACTATGCGTAACACATAGTGAATAGAGTAATAAATATTGCGAGTTCACGTCATAGTAGTACAACCAGACCAGTGTCATCGCTCGCACCAGAATTGAAATGGTTGAATTATTGATATGATGAGTTTAGTATACAGTACTCTACACAATTATGCTATATGGTAAGTTGCGTAGAACGATTTTGATCTATCACTGAAAAATCAATTAATTGAGAGATGGTAGTGAGATACAGTGGTCAACTATGACAGACAAAAAAAATAAATATCTGCCGAAGCTGAGAGGACTATGTTATTTCCACCATAATCAGAGATCTAATTTTTTTTTTTTTTGGTGTAAGTCAGAGATCTAATTCATATTTATATTCTAAACACTGATCGCATTTTGACATGAATCTCTTGAGTGATATAACTCACTATTTTTGTACGTACTATATTAATTAATACACAAATTTAAGTCTCTCCATGTCAGGATGTACACTTCCTTTTTTCCTCGCATATCAATTGCATTTTAAAATGTAATAATTAGCTTACATACTGTTTGTATCATGGACACTACTGCGTTTTGTCTTCCCGTGTTAGGTGAGACAAAAGAAATAATCAACTCTTACCTTTTATATTTGAATTTTCTGAAGTCGAGATGTGATTTTTTTTCATATCCTATGTGGATTTTTAGGTATACGACAACAAAGTTATTGTTTGCTGTAGTTTCNGATGATAGTCCGTTGAATGCGGTGCCTACCAAGTACCAACATATAACAATATAATGATCCTTATTTGAATTTTTATTGTACTCATATAAACATCGTACTCATGCAGTCATGCATCCAAACAAAATGTGACAGGCTGGGTTTGCTACCTGTGAGCTTTTCTCTTATAGACGAAGACGATTCAAACACTTGTATATGAAGTACTGACCTTGGCTTGATGATAAATTTACCACTAAGTTCTTTATAATTTTATACTTGCCTTTATATTTTGCTTCTAATTATCATATGAATGCAAAGCACTATGAGGACTTCTAATTAACTTGGTACGTTAAGCAGATGTCGATAGCTAACTTTAGTTGTAATTTTAACTAGGAGTTTATGTATGAATTCAGAAACTTGAATGTTTTCTAACTACATGTCATCATGCACACATAGAACTGACTGCACTAACTAAGAGTTATCATGGACACATTACTTTCAAGAAGTCTCACTCTCACTCAAAACTACAATGATTTCATTCTCTCAATCGACACACACGCACAGAAATATTATTACATATAATTAACTGTATATCATTCAGACATTCAACACTACCCACAAGTAATAGATTACAAAGAAAATAAAGAAACGAGATATCGTAAAGGAGCCCTAAAGCGCCTTTTGCTTTATTCGCTTGCTTTATGTCTTTCTTGTTTCTGTAAACTCACATGTTATACTTTAGAGTAGAGTTGAGGTGTTGGTCCATTTACAATTTGATGTGATCAAATCAAGAAAATAGCAAAACACTATCATAAGAGAAGTTCACATGTTTTTGAAAAATTTGAACTTATATTTGATTAATCGTGTAAAACAAAATGCTCACATGTTACTTCTATTGACTTGCCTCCATCATCTGCTTTGTCCCATTGGATGTACTCTTTGCCCATGCCTCTTGGATGCCTTTTATATTTTTTAAAAAATTACAAATATATAATATAACTTACTGTTTTATTCATGTAACAATTATTTGCAGCAAATATAGTAATTCAGTGGAATAATGTCAAAAAAATATCCCATTTATCTTTGTTCTCTATTCCCCTTGTGAACATATAAGCTAGTTATCAGGTTATTGTACATACCATGGATAAGGATATGGATATCTAATCCAAATGATCTGAAAATCAAGTACAATTATAATCTAGTTTAAAATGAAGAAAAAAAACAAATTGATTAAAGAAACTTATACTAAACAAACGTGTATAAATTTTCATAGAGCATAAAACAAGTGAGTTTTTTTTTTAATAGTGGAATGAACCATATATGAATTCACTTATTATTTCAGATTAATGTAAGCGATAACTCTAATGGATATATGAAAGTTAAAACAATGATATGCAAAGTACGATATCATAGCTGGTGCACTGAAAAAAGAAACAACTTTTCTTACCATTAAATCTCAGTGAGAATTGGTATCATTTTCAACTTTGAAAATAACAAAAAAAAAGCTAGATTCGCCTAACTATTACTGTACTATTCTGAAAAGTCTTTAAAAAAGAATCTTTTTACTTAGAAAAATAAAATGTTTTGACTCTTCAAAAACCCAAAAAAAAAGAGAGCCATTATCTTCTTCACCACTCTCACACACTCTCTCTTCTCTTCAACCAAACATGGCCTCTCTTCTCTCACTCTCCCTCATCCTCTCCCTCTTCTTCCTCTTCCTCTCACCTTCACTATCTTCCCCATCAGAGCTCGACATTCTCCTCGACATCAAATCCTCTCTTGACCCACAAAAACGCTTCCTCACTTCATGGACTCCAAACACAGACCCTTGCTCCCCTGGCTCATTCGACGGTGTAGCTTGCGATGGAAACCACCGCGTAGCTAACATATCTCTCCAAGGAATGGGTCTAACCGGAACCATCCCTCCTTCCATCGGTCTTCTCACTAGCTTAACCGGTTTATACCTTCATTTCAACTCCTTAACCGGTCAGATTCCTAAAGATATCTCAAATCTACCTCTCCTCGCTGATTTATACCTCAACGTCAACAATCTCTCCGGTGAAATCCCTCCTCAAATCGGAGACTTAGACAATCTTCAAGGTCAGTCTTGTTTATGCATGTGTTCATACTTCATTTATTACAGCAACAAGATAATAAGTGGGTCCGGTTTAGCTTTTTATTACATTAGCTTAAAAGAGTTTTATTATGTTCTTTTGCTTTTCTTTTTTTTTTGCAGTTCTTCAGTTATGTTACAACAAGTTAAGTGGGAGTATACCGACACAGTTAGGTTCTCTCAAGAAGATTACTGTCTTGGCTTTACAGTATAACCAACTCTCCGGTGCTATACCGGCGAGTTTAGGAGATCTCGGTACGTTAACGAGGCTTGACTTAAGCTTCAACGATCTCTTTGGTCCGGTTCCGGTTAAACTCGCCGCTGCTCCTTTGCTTCAAGTTCTTGACATTCGTAACAACTCCTTCTCCGGCGTCCTTCCCTCTGGTAAAACTCTTTAATATGGTTTGACCGAACCAAAACCGGATCGAACGGGATATAATTTTTGTTTTTCTTTTGGTGTTTGTAAGGTTTGAAGAGGCTAAACAATGGGTTCCAGTATGCAAACAACCACGGTTTATGCGGAGGTGGGTTCACAGATTTGAAACCTTGTACCGGTTCTAACGACCCGAACCTAAACCGTCCCGACCCAACAAACCCCAAGACTTTCAGAACAACAGATGATGTTAAACCGGAATCTGCAGACTTGCAAAGAAGTAACTGCAGTAACAAAAATGGCGGGTGTTCATCAAAAACCTCAAAGTCCTCATCTGTAGGAATCGTCATGGGACTAATAGGATCAATACTCGCAGTAGCCATCTTCGGTGGCTCAACTTTCACTTGGTACAGACGAAGGAAACAGAAGATAGGAAGCAGTCTTGATACTATGGACAGTAGGGTAAGCACTGAGTACAACTTCAAAGAACCTTCTAGAAGAAAAAGCTCTTCTCCGTTGATCAGCTTAGAGTACTCCAGAGGTTGGGATCCGCTAGGTAGAGGACAGAACGGTAACAACAACAGTGCATTGTCTCAAGAAGTCTTTGACAGCTTTATGTTTAACCTTGAGGAGATTGAGAGAGCTACTCAGAGCTTCTCCGAAGTTAATCTGTTGGGGAAGAGTAACGTCTCTTCTGTTTATAAAGGTATCCTTAGAGACGGCTCTGTTGCAGCTATCAAATGTATAGCGAAATCTAGCTGTAAATCAGATGAATCTGAGTTTCTCAGAGGGTTGAAGATGTTGACATTGCTGAAACATGAGAATCTAGTGAGGCTGAGAGGCTTTTGCTGCTCTAAAGGGAGAGGAGAGTGTTTCCTTATCTACGAGTTTGTCCCCAATGGTAATCTCTTGCAGTATCTTGATGTCAAGGAAGAGAGTGGAGATGTTCTTGAATGGTCTACTCGAGTTACCATCATAAATGGAATCGCCAGAGGTTAGTTCTTTCCTAAACTAAACTCAGTTCTTGTACTAAAGTCTGATATGTGTTTTTTTAATCTTCAGGCATTGTTTACTTGCATGGAGAAAATGGGAACAAACCTGCAATAGTTCACCAGAATCTATCAGCAGAGAAGATCCTCATTGATCATTGGTATAATCCTTATCTTGCGGATTCCGGTCTTCACAAGCTTTTCACGGATGATATAGTCTTCTCCAAGCTCAAAGCAAGTGCTGCAATGGGATACTTAGCTCCAGAGTACATAACTACAGGAAGGTTCACTGACAAGAGCGACGTATATGCCTTCGGTATGATTCTGTTGCAGATACTCAGTGGTAAAAGCAAAATCAGCCATTTGATGATCGTACAAGCTGTAGAGTCTGGACGACTGAAAGAATATTTCATTGATCCAAATCTTCAAATGAACTTTCCGGAGGCAGAAGCTGCTCAGCTCGCTAGACTTGGTCTTCTCTGCACTCATGAGTCTTCAAACCTGAGACCATCCATGGAAGATGTTATGTACGAATTGAATAAACTCGCAGCGAGCCATTAGTTGCCTTTAAACAAGGAGATTCTTGCTTTTGATTGTCCTAGACTATCACCCACTCCCCTGATGTTATATTGGTTCATGATGTAACAATCTTATCTCTTTTTGTAACTGTAGCTGATGTACTTAGGATGTAACAACAAGTGTTTTTTTTTTTTCAGACCAACCAACATGTGAATGAATATGTTGTGACATTGTCTTCATCTGTTTACTCCGTTTTGTTCTCCATTTGAATCGCAAGGAGTTGCAGAATAGATTTACATCTGAATAACATATTGTTTGCACAATCTTTTATCTACAATGTGTTGGAAACTTCCATGTTACCTACAAAGAAACTCATGGACTCTTCCATCAAGCTCAATCCAACTACATCCAGGAAGTTTTTCTATCTTTTTTTCCTTCATCATCGTTCTAACCCTACGAACATCCTTCCACATTCCATTACTAGCATACATATTGGAGAGAAGCACATATGAGCTCGGGTTATAGCCAGCTTGCAAAATGAGGTGTTTCGCAACAAGCTCTCCCGTTTCAAACTCCTTATGGTGACTACAAGCAGAGAGAAACGTCCTCCATATAACATCGTTTGGCTCAATTGGCATTTCCTCTATTAAGTTTTTTGCTAGCTCTATACTTCCTGATCTTGCTAGTATGTCCACCATACATCCATAGTGTTGCAATCTTGGTTGTATCTTGTGTTTTCTCCTCATGAGCTCAAAGCATAGAAGGCCTTCCTTCACCAAACCAGAGTGGCTGCAGGCATTTAGGACTCCAACAAAGGTTATATGGTCAGGTTTTATGGAACTTCTTTCGATCTGTAAAAGCATGTCGAATGCAGATTCTCCAAGACCATGAACAGCTAGGCCACCAATCATGGCATTCCAGTGATCAATACTTTTGCTTTCGATACCCTCAAAGACCCTCATGGCGTGTTGTATGCTTCCACACTTCGAGTACATATCAATGAGAGCAACTCCGAGTTTTCCACTTAAAGGAAACTGTTTCTCCACAATGTACAAATGCATATCAATGGCTTTGGATAATCTACCAAGCTGAGCAATCGCTGAAAGAACTATCACCAAAGTCGTTTCATCAGGTGACAAGTGACTCTCCTTTTCCATGTGGTTAAACACTTCAAGAGCTTCCATGTGATACCTGTTTTGAACATAACCACTCATCATAGAGTTATACACCACAACATCTCTATGTGGCATTTGGTCAAACAGAGACTTAGCCTCATGAACCAAACCTAACTTCCCATACCCATCGATCATAATAGCCCAAGTAACCACATCCCTTCTTGGCATCACATCGAATAAACCTTTAGCATCCTCCATCCTCCCATGCTTTACATATCCATCAATCATCGAGTTCCACGAAATCAAGTCCTTCTCAGGCATCACATCAAACAGCTTCAACGCAACATTAACTCCATCTTCTCTCTGAGAAAACCCACCTATCATAGAGTTCCAAGTAATCAAATTCTTATTCTCCCTCGGCATCAAATCAAACAACTCACCCGCGGATTCAACCAATCCACATTTAACATACCCATCAATCATTGAATTATAAGAAACAGAATCTCTCTGCGGCATTCTATCGAACACCTGGCGCGAAAACCCTAAAAAACCACACTTTATATACAAACCAATCAAACAATTCTGCAGAAACAAATCCGACCAAGCTCCACTCTTTATCAAAAACCCATGAATCTGCGTCCCTTCCTTCACAAACCCTAACCTCGAACACGCTTTTAAAACAAGAGACAGCGAGAATTTATCCACGGGGACACCGTTCTCGAGCATCAAACAGAGCAAAAACAGAGCTTTTATCGGATCGAGTCCATGAGAGTGAGATTTGATAACTGCGTTCCATAGAAACGGATCTTTCACCTCCTCTACGGTGGAAACAGAGCGTACGTGATACTCGTGGAAGAGACAACGCGCGAATTGGGCGAGAAATGGGCGTCGAGAGGAGGCGAAGGCGAGAACGATCCTCGTCGTGAGATTGGGGTTTTTGATGAATCCGGTAGTGATCAATCGAGAGTGGATTTTGTTTATGTCTTCTGAGGTTTTGCAGGTTTCGAGGAGGTGGATGGTGGGTGATATCGAACTCCATGGATGATGCTGACAATGCGCGAAGACAAGCATTTCTGTTTGGAGATAAAACAGGATTGGGTTTATGTTCGTTTTAACGGTTATGTTTAGTCTGTGTGGAAATAAGGAAACGATGTCGTGTCATATTGGCTCTCAAATTGAGGCCCAACTAACTAAATGAGAGTTTCGAATTTAGTGAACACTAGGTAGAGACCCGTGCCTTGCACGGGATGAGAGTATCCAGTGCAAATATTTGAATTTAAGCTATATTTTTGTTCATGATTTACACATCCCTCTATTTGTTCAAAAAAAGCAAACAATGCTCCGTTTACTGACATTTACTGACATGTAAAGAGAAGTGTGACACTTGTTGCCTTTATCTACTCCTTGTATAAGCACT